TTTTTTTTTTTTTTTTCCACAAGGCTGCTAACCTTCAGCACATAATGCTTCAAAAGCATTAGGTGTTTGTTGCCAAAGATACTGGCTTTGGTAAGTACAGAATACCATCATGTAAACAGCGCTGTTATGCGTCTAGTGTTTTAATGAGGCAGTTATTTTTATCAGACAGCAATTCATGTTCACCTCAGACATGCAAATGAAACTCTCTTGCCAAATAGGATTTGACTCCTTTGTCAACAACAGTAATGGTTTGCATCTAAACACGAGGAAAATTAAGCCACATATAATTGTCCAAAGGGGCAAACTTCAAAGCATAATAGAGGATTCACAGGAGGAATCCAAACTGAACTTGACATTATTTGATTGACTTTGTTTTAGACACAGTGTAGATTTCATTTATTAAGGGAAAAAATATGTCCAAACGTGAAAAGTAATTGCCCCCTAAATTTAATAACTGGTTGTGCCACCCTTTGCAGCATCAACTGCAATCAAGCGTTTGCGATTACTGGCAATGAGTCTTTTGGCCCACTCTTCTTTGCAGAATTGTTTTAATTCAGCCACATTGGAGGGTTTTCGAGCATGCATGGACTGTTTAAGGTCATGCCACAGCATCTCAATCGGATTTAAGTCCAGACAACGGGACGCACACCTTCCAAAAAGTTTAACTTTTGTCGCATCAGTCCAGAGAATATTTGCCCAAAATTCTTGGGGATAATCAAGATATTTTTTGGCAAATGTGAGACGAGCCTTTGTGTTCTTTTTGGTCAGCAATGGCTTTTGCCTTGGAACTCTCCCATGGATGCCGTTTTTGCCCAGTCTCTTTCTTATTGTTGAATCATGAACACTGACCTTTATTGAGGAAAGTGAGGCCTGCAGTTCTTTAGATGTTGTTCTGGGTTCTTTTATGACCTCCTGGATGTGTCGTTGTTGCACACTTGTAGTAATTTTGGTAGGCCGGCCACTCCTGGAAAGGTTCACCACTGTTCCAAATTTTCTCCATCTGTGGATAATGGCTCTGACCATGGTTCGCTGGAGTCCCAAAGCCTTAGGCCCCATTTACACTACTGCATTTTTGTTTTAAAACGCATAACTTTTGCTACGCGTACGCCTATCGTTTACACTACTCTGGCGTTTTCGAGGTTGAAAATGGAGACTTTTGAAAATGCTGCAGACCCCATTTTAGTTTGAAAACTCTGGGGTTGCGTTTCAATGTAAACGGACCAAAACGGAGACTTTTGAAAACGATGGCGTGGCTGCCCACATTCTCTCTGAGTATCCTTGACGACCGTGTAAACAATAACATCATGCTTATTGCTGTACACATAGATGTGTAGGTGTAGATTACCCAGTGTAAACAATAACATCATGCTTATTGCTGTACCCATAGATGTGTAGGTAGATTCCCCATTCGACCTCTCCAAGCACGTAGACGCGTCCGCCATCTAAATAATAGGGATCTACCTATACATATCGATGGTTGTACCTGCATGAATGGTCACGTGACATGCGTTTTTGGTTGTGTAGTGTAGACGGAGATCGTTTCTGAAACGCAGTTGAAACGCCAGTGTAGACGAGGATCGTTTTCATTCTAAAACACCGTTTTGAAATGAAAATGCACTAATGTAAATGGGGCCTTAGAAATGGCTTTATAACCCTTTCCAGACTAATACATGTCAACTATTTTGTTCTCATCTGTTCTTGAATTTCTTTAGATCGCGGCATGATGTGTTGCTCTTTAAGCATGCTTCACTTTGTCAGACAGGTTCTATTTAAGTGGTTTCTTGATTCAACAGGTCTGGCAGTAATCAGGCCTGGGTGTGGCTAGTGAAATTTAACTCAGCTTTCTAAAATAATGTGGTTAATCATAGTTCCTTTCTTGATTTAACAGGAGGAAGCAATTAATTTTTCATGTAGGGCCAGGTAGGTTTGGAAAGCTTTTTTCCCTTAATAAATGAAATTATCATTTAAAAACTGCATTTTGTATTTACTTGCATTATAAAAACAGAATTTTGTATTTACTTGCATTATCTTTGTGTAATATTAAAATTTGTTTGATGATCTGAATCTTTTTAAGTGTGAAAAATATGCAAAAATAAAAAACAGGAAGGGGGCAAAAACCTTTTCACGGCACTGTATATATGCACCTCAGGATGCACAGCAAGTGCTGTGATTGTCAGATCTGATGTTAGACCAGTTCAATCAGAGACATTACAGCCAACACCTGAGGACATGACCCTTAGACTTCATCTCAGTAAAGCAAACTCTAATTATCACTAGACCCAAAAGCCCGAGGGTGGCTCAGTAATTGCTTAAGATATGAGAATTGCTGCCCCCATGACTTTCTCTAAGGTAACATTTATAATAAGTTTAATTAATAATATTAATAAACATTGTTACAATATGTCAGTGGCTCTTAAAGCATGTAAGATATTAAGTAGTGACTGCACTTGTTCACTATCAAATCCAACTTCACATCTGCACATTAAAACCTGCCTACCTTTGTTTTAAAAGCCATTTCTGTCATTAAAAAAGTTATATGAATTCAGAAACTACATACATGTGACCGGGGATTTAAATTTACCACCAGGAACACATTGAGGGGTTCTATTCACTTTAAGTTTATTCAGTTATTGGTATAAGGAAAACGTTTTACTAAGGACAATAAAATAACAGTTTTTAACATGCAAGGAGAGAAACTAATTATAAGGTTATTTACCACCCGGTTACATACACACACAAATAAAATAAAATAATATTAAATACTATAATAGTATCTCAATATTACTATAACAACAACAACCACTGCAGTATAAATGATTCAATGATTTAATTTTGTCCAACAATGCTACAGAGACATCAAAAATAATGCCATGAAAAAGCAGGTGATCTTTAAGCAAGATCTTATGTCCAGCTGTAAGGAGGCGTAAGATATTATGTTTTGCTTATATGGCATACCTTGCTCAGTGACCTTCTGTTCCGAATTCACTTTCTGAGCAGACTTTTATCTTTACAATGCATTTTCTCTACTGGATGATCTACCAGAAAAATGTTAACTCATTGTTTCAAGCAAGCACTCTCACTTTATCACCATTTGTCCTAGATACAAAGAGTGGCATGGCCCAGGGATTCAGATAGGATTTGACTCTCATCAATAACCAAGGCAGCCACTAAACACCATGTCCCTGCAGTGGAGTTAGCCTCTTCGTACAGGTGGTACGATCCTGAAAGCATAGCGGCTCTGTATGCATCTCTACTTCCTCCACTTTCTAGGTCACTTGCAGAAAGAAATGAGGTGTCAGGGTAATGGATAGATCCCAAACACCAGAGCAAAGTTTGAAAAGCTTGAGGGACTTAATTGTCAACGCATTAAGATCTAACAGCACAAAGATTTTGGCTTGCAATGATAAAAGTGGATTTGGGTTATGCACTGATAAGGCTTCCTAATTTACAGGCCTTCATACTACACTTTTGCTGCGGACACTTTTTATTACAAATTCGTGATGAAAAAAGTCACAATTTACAAGTTTTTTGGACAACCCAGTCTCATGGCAAATATGTACCTGGGGGCACATTTTTGCAAGACGCGAAATACGTACCAATAAGTACATATCACTGCAGTTTCCAAAAGGTTCAACAAAACAGTTAAAATCTGCATGTAAGGAAGTTAAAATGGCATGGTTGCATCAAAAAATTTGTTTTTATATCAGTTTTGCATTTGTTAACACTATCGGGTAGGTTTAGGGTTGGGTTTGGTGTAGGGCATATTTCCAACACGACAGAGCATTAAGTTTTAGCGACAGTCCCCGGATATTTTGAATTCTGAATCGCCGCAATACGTACCTGAAGAAACGTAATAAAAACACAGCAATACGTACCTATATCAACGTAATAAAAACGTGCCAGGGTTCACGTATTGAACCCGTGTTTTAGCGCCACTCAGTGGACATTTCTCTTTGAAACTGCGGCGAAACGTGCAGTAAGGTACGTAAAAACGGTGTTGCAGGAATGTACGCAGAGGTACGTATTTTTATGAGACTGGGTTGTTTTTGGAAGTAGTATTCAAACTGTAGTAAGACATAAACAGCTCTTCATTAAAGGGATAGTTCATCCCAAAATTAAAATTATATCATTTACTCACCTTCATGTTGTTCCAAACCTCCTTCTCTTTCCATAAAAAACAAAAACAAGATTATTAAAAAAAAAACAAAAAAAAAACAAGCCAATGGGGTCAGTTTTAAGGTGTTTTATTAGATTTACGAATAGAAAACATGTTACCACTATTTTCAAAATGTTTCAAAAATGGTGATATAGTTATCGGCTCGACCTGTTAACACAGCGTTATTACTGTTAAATTATTAATTCATCTTGGCATGCAACATATTACATGAAATATGTAACACTCAAGGTTTCTATAAAACCCTTTTCCACTAAAATTGGCATTGCAATAGTATTATTCAAATTTGATATAGGTAATTTTCAGATTTAAAAAATGCACTCAGAAAGGCAAGATGTTAAGAGAGTGTACACTCATTGATTTTAATAAATATATATATATACACGCAGAACTACATTGCCACCCTGCTGCAAAAGCCAGGCTGCATTTCAGTCTCAAATTGAGTACTTATATTAAATTGCTGGACTAGTCCAATCTGGAGCTTTTCTTGCGTTGACAAGATTCATCAGTCTCGCTTGACAGGGCCTTAGGATTAAATAGCAGGGCAATGCAAGTGGGAGTATCTGGTGAATATACCTGGCAGCGGCCAAGTTCAGCAATTATGGAAATGAGAGCAGTGCTCCTGTGTGAACTAAAAGCTGTTTTTACTGTAACCTCTCTACAGTGCTAAGACAACAGAGTATTCCAAAGTAATGAGGCTGATGCCTTTGTAAATTAATACACGGTTTTGTCTAGACATTAAACAGTAGCTGTTTGTGCATAATAGATATTCTCAGTAGACTTGACGGTAATCTTGGTCTCAATGCTTTATGCATGCTGAATGCATACATATTTATATGTATGTACCTGTGTACTGTTATACAGTAGCTATAAATGTACATTATCCCTCCCAGTCGTCTGAGTGGTCTATTACCGACGCATATGTGGCCTAATTCTATTGCAGTGATTGAGTGATGTAGCTTTAAAGAGGCCCAGACAGCCCACTTAAAACGTGTCCATAAACCTGCCACACTCTCTTGGATCATCAACATCACCTGCCAATAGTGATGGATTCCCCTATCCAAGGCTCTGGCTTAAGATATAGTATATATACAAATCTGGTGCAGCCTAGCTGATCGATAAGCATCTCTTCTATGTTTTCCACCCTTAATTTGGCTTTCAAAAGTCAGTTTGAATATTTTTGCACCAGTCGACCCTTTGGCAAGTGAAAATTATGAGTATTGAGTCTCAAGTCACTGAGCCGGAGCAGTTGGTACGCACTATTCCTTCATATAATTAAAAATGTTATGTTTGTTTTATTTTTAGGCAATGTGCAAATTGAATTTTATATCACTTTGGTTGGTTTCCTTCAGGACACGTAAACATATGTTGACAAGATGGTTGGTTGGGGGAAAAAGCTAGTAGTGGATATTCCTTTCTCTGCAGTTCAACATCATTTCATCATGTCTTGAGGATATGGACTATGTTAATAGGATTAATTTCTTCAAACTGCTTTCTTATTAAAAGTATCATGTGACTCCCTTGTAACACGATAACAAAACAATACTCCCACATATCCGCCTGAGTGAATCTGAGTGGTGACATAATGACACAACAGTTTCATTGTCTCAGCCCCCAGAGTGTCAGCTTGAAAAGGAAGCTGTAGTTTACTTCATTTTTAGAGTATTTAGAGAATTCGCTATCCTGAAATATGAGTTGAAATATGTCTGAGCATTGGGAGAAAGACTTAATCAAAACATTGGCTTAGAATGAAACACCTAAAGGTATAGTTCACCCAAAAAAAGGAAATCATTTACTCATCCTCATGTCCAAACCTGAATGCAATTCTTTATCCTGCAGAACACAAAACAAGACATTTTGAAGAATGTTGGGGTGCAAACAACATTGAAGCCAAAAAGTAAGCCATGTTTGGAACAACAAGAGGGTGAGTAAATGATAAAGAAGTGAACTATCCCTTTAAATATATATATATATATATATATATATATATACTTAGTTATCGCTCTCTAACTCTCTACCCTTTAACACTCTACCAATGACCTCAGAACACATCTCTGCCTGCTTCTCAGACATTTTGGCCCGGATGCAGCCATCAATCGACCACTATATCACTTTACAGCTTGGCTCAACAGCACAAAGATCTGCTAGGTCAGCCAGGAACCTGTGGGTGTTTGACGCTAAACTTCACTGACCTATCTCAACTGCTGCCTAGTCATGCAAATTTACACTTTTCAAGAGCAGAAAAATCAGACCATGCTTATCCGAATACACTCTAAAGCTTCTGAGATCTCAAATTCAAGGCTCTGAGAACTAAGTAAGAACACTGTTCTACATTTTATAATATGATATCATATAATACAATATAATAAAACAACATTTATTACAACATTGCTAATTTAGTTGTATTTGTTGAATTGAAAGTCATGAAGTTGAAGATATTTAAATGTAATCTAATTCATGGAATTATTAAATAATAAAACCATTAATAAAATGAGTATTGATAAAAAAAACACCAAACAATTATATATTTGTTATTTTATGTAAAGATAAAAGCATCTGCTAAATGAAGCATCTGCTCAAAACAGCAACCTCAGTTATGTCTGCCTTGAATGGTTTGTTTTCCTTAATATTTCTTTGTGAGCTTTATAATGTTGTTAGTGCATTGTCTGTGCAACATAAAAGACTTACTTGTGGAAAAAATACTTTAATTGCACATTTCTAATGGCTTTGTCCTTGTTAAAAATATTGAATTTGGCATGCATACAAATTCTACCCTCTTTTACTGCTGCAGGTAATGCTCATTGATCTGTGAAATTATGAGCTACCATTAAAAAAGGACTGGTTACCACATAATTCAAGACGGTCTGATCTGCTTTCCTCTAACCTATTCATCTGAAAACGCACAGACTCAGATGCCATTTTCATTAGAATGTACCATAATTACCTATATAGGGAGATACAATAGTCTCTTTTCTGGCTTCGGAAATTGTTCAATAGCCAGAACTGACTGAAAGAGCAAATGAGTTTGTTCTGTACTCACTTAATGGTTGAACTTTTTAATCCAGATAAGGAAAATAAAGTTCTATTTTGACTTTATAGAGCACTTGTACTTGTGAATAGAGGAGTTTTAAGTTGGTGATCCATATGCTAGCCTAAAGACATCTTTTCAAGGAACATATCTATATATTGATGCATTAAGATGTTTGTCAAGATGGCATTTAATCAATACAGGCTATAAAATATGGTAAATTTGCACATATATAAAAAGCTTGTATAAAACAACATTTTGTGCAATAATGCTTGTCAGTTTCAGCAGTACAGGTCCCAAAGGCTTTATCTTATTCTGACAAAACAAAATATACTGGCTGATGCAGTTATGTCTGAGTAAGATAAGATGGGAATGATGGCTAAAGGCGGTTCTTATTGTCATCATGAGCTAGGTTAAAAAACACTGACTACTTTTTATTGGTAAATACTGGTAAACCACAGAGCAAGTGTATGAACAAGTCAGACAAGTCTACTTCTGAAGGAACAGTAAGAACCTGGGAGAAATTAAACCTATTCAACTGGAGAAGAAAGTTCTATTCAAGCGATAAAACTTCAGTGTATAGCACCACAGTGAATCCCGGTAGTAGAGCCGATAGCATCATCAAAAAAAAGAGAAAAAGCCATGCACAATAACACAGGGATGAGGTGAAAGAATTCTGCTTAAAGGTCTTGCCTGCACTATTCAATGCTACAATGCCCTCATCCATCCTCTGCTGCTGTCTTCCACCTGTGGAGTGATAAGACTCAGTGATCTATGAAGCACACCAGCAACATAAAAGATCATCCGCAACTGTCTGTTCAAGAAACAAACAGCTCCTTTTCTGCCCTTTCAAAATAAAACAGAGGTCAGAAGATGCTGCTTTAGGTCTTACCTCCACTATCTTGACTATACACATGAAGAAGACTTGGACATCACTTGTCATCATTTGTCATTACAAGATCATCTTGCTGCCAGATAAAGGGAAGAACTTTGTAGCTCATTGGATTCTTATAACATTAATGCAATAAGCATTTACGATTTTTTTGTAACAACAGGTCCATGAAAAATATTGTACTGGGAAAGTTAGATGAGTGATACACCACAACATCATTGGATTACTGAATTTATGGATCTGTCTAGCTATGCAATACTGAAAGGTAAAATGAAAATTTGCTGAAAATCAACTTAGCCTCTGACTATCCAAGATAAGTTTGTATCTTTATCAGAACAAATCTAAAAAAAAAATTAAAAAAAATCACTTGCTCACCAACGGATCCTCTGCGGTAAATGGGTGCCGTCAGATTTAGAGTCCAAACAGCTGATAAAAACATCACAATGATAACACAAGTAACCCACACAACTCCAGTCAATTAATATCTTGTGAAGCAAAAAGCTGTCATTAAGACATTTTTAAGAAACAGGTGCTTCCAGCTAAAATATGAGTAGAGAGATATGCACAGATCAAGCCCTGTTTACAAGCAAAAACAGACCAAAACAGTTCTAAACAAATATGCTGGTGGATTTTGAAGTGAGAGAGGGATGTATTTTGTCCAGAAGCGATGGTTTAAAGTTAAAACGCCTTAATGATTAATCTGCTTATTACAAAAACATGGCTTTTCACTTCACAAGATGTTAATTGATTGACTTGAGTCGTGTGGATTTTTGTGATGTTTTTATCAGCTGTTTGGACTCTCATTCTGACGGCACCCATTCACTGCAGAGCATCGATTGGTGAGCAAGTGATGTAAATTTCTCCATGTATGCATAAACTCATCAATATCATACTCATCTAGGGTGGCCTGAGGGTGAGTAAACTTTCAGCATTTTTTTTTTTTTTTTGGTGAACTATTCCTTTAACAAATTAAAAGAATAAGTTACAGCATGTAACTCATGATTTTAGAATAATATAGCACAAACTTAATGTACACCAGCATAATGGTAACTTGAAAGGGTTTATTGATGACTAATAATTAATTTAAAAATGCATCATTAATATGCAGTTATATGGTATCACTGGGGCAACTGGCATCCAATGCTTGCCAAACAGTGAACCCTTTTAATTCAGAAATGTTTAAATAAACATTTATTTATATTGACTTTAATTAACATGATGAGTGAGATTAAAAGGAAGCCACGTATTGCAACAGGCTGTTTTTGCTTGTATTTTGTTTCTTTTTTTTCACTGCAATATCTTGAATCATGTCTCTTGCCTTTTTCAAGAGTTTAAAGTGTAGGATCTCTGTCTTCGAACGGAGACACTTACACTATTGAGTCACACATGAAACAATCACATTCCATTGAGACAAACTGAGGCACCCCTATGCAACCAGCTGCGGTCGTAAAACTCATGCAGGGTCAGTGAAGGGTTGAAGCAGTTCCTGTCCTATTTAGCGTATCTCTCAAGAGACTCAAATAAAGACAGTGCTTAAACCCTAACTCAAACTAGGATACAAAACTATCTTTGTTTTAGCGCACGAAGGAAGAAACGGGCGTTTTTCCCCATTTACTTTCTGTAAAAGGGCCTTCAGAGTGTGATTTGTATAAGTGCGTTTTCCACTTCCAAATGCAACTCTGCTATTAATCTCCCCGGTTTGAGAATATCAGATTAGCTAGCCGATAGTCATCTGCCATTTAATTCACTAAAAAAGAAACTAGTGAACTTGAAACGCGGTACTCAGAGAGAGTGTCCGAACGATATTTTACTTTGGGGGAATTGTGAAATCGTGGTTAAATCCACGCGTTTTCGTCTGTATGAATATGTGCTGATATCATTGACAGTTATTGTATTAATTGCAGTGAATCGGTAGATTAATTCACCTCACTCAGAACGAGTTGAGATTGTTTAGCGCTATAAGATAAGATAAGAATCGATAGTGCTTTTTGGTTGATAATTAATTCCCTTACAAATGAGTTAATTTCATTACAAAAGGGAATGTAACATGATTCAAAACATTACCGCAAGAAATATAAACACAATATGTCATACTCCCACCTTTTAATCTCTTATTTTGTTGTATTATTACATACATTATAAATTATGAAATTTTATTATGATGTATAACAGTTTTGCAATGCATTATTTGTCATCACAGTTAATCCCTTTAAGAAGGGAGCATTAATATGAAGTCTTATTGACTGTTGTAGTAGACCTCAGACTGTCAGGAGTGAGTCCATCCCCATGTTGACGGCAACTGCTGTTAAATGACCCAACATAAGAAGCCTTTCTAGTATTTGGCCAAGACATGACCATATACTGAACTGACATCTAAAGTTCAGTCTTTCAAAGATCAGGTCAGGTGGTTTGAAAGAGGAATAAAGGTAGTAATTTAATCCAGCTTCTTTTGTCAAAAATGTCTAGTGGACATTGTGTGATGCTTTTGGATGATTGAAGACTTTCACAGATTTAAAAAAAAAAAACATTTGTTCAAATAGCAAGATGGTAACCTTTTTTTTTACTTAATATTGTGGACAATTTAAAGCAATAGTCCAGAGAAAAATCATTTATGTAAACATTTTCACACTGTTGTTCATATCCGTGGAAACCAAAAAGAAACCAGAACTTCCTAGACCCTTTTCAACCTCCAATAAATAAATACATAAATAAATAAATAAAATAAAAGTACAAATAAAAGTATAAAAACAGCTGTATAAAGTAATTTTGTGTGGTGAATAAAATGGATTAAATGAAATTATCAGTGTAATTTTTTCTTTGAAAATGCTGCAGGCTTAACACGTTACACCAGAATGCTTTATCTTCCTTTTATATATTTTTTTATGTTATGTTAATATTGCAATTAGTATGTTAATACATGACAGAACTGGTATCTTTTGATGACAAATAGAAAAAAAAGCAATTTGCATTTATCAAGCAGCAGTTTAGCTGCACACCTTATTGCAGCATCACAAACACAGATTTCATGAATTTTGAATAGTTTAGCCATAATTCATGATGAAATGCTTTCCACATACAGATGTTGGAGTTTTCTCTTCATATACAGGTGCATCTCAATAAAATAGAATGTCGTGGAAAAGTTAATTTATTTCAGTAATTCAACTCAAATTGTGAAACTCGTATATTAAATAAATTCAATGCACACAGACTGAAGTAGTTTAAGTCTTTGGTTCTTTTAATTGTGATGATTTTGGCTCACATTTAACAAAAACCCACCAATTCACTATCTCAACAAATTAGAATACTTCATAAGACCAATAAAAAAACATTTTTAGTGAATTGTTGGCCTTCTGGAAAGTATGTTCATTTACTGTACATGTACTCAATACTTGGTAGGGGCTCCTTTTGCTTTAATTACTGCCTCAATTCGGTGTGGCATGGAGGTGATCAGTTTGTGGCACTGCTGAGGTGGTATGGAAGCCCAGGTTTCTTTGACAGTGGCCTTCAGCTCATCTGCATTTTTTTGGTCTCTTGTTTCTCATTTTCCTCTTGACAATAGCCCATAGATTCTCTATGGGGTTCAGGTCTGGTGAGTTTGCTGGCCAGTCAAGCACACCAACACCATGGTCATTTAACCAACTTTTGGTGCTTTTGGCAGTGTGGGCAGGTGCCAAATCCTGCTGGAAAATGAAATCAGCATCTTCAGAAAGCTGGTCAGCAGAAGGAAGCATGAGGTGCTCCAAAATTTCTTGGTAAAAGGGTGCAGTGACATTGGTTTTCAAAAAAACACAATGGACCAACACCAGCAGATGACATTGCACCCCAAATCATCACAGACTGTGGAAACTTAACACTGGACTTCAAGCAACTTGGGCTATGAGCTTCTCCACCCTTCCTCCAGACTCTAGGACCTTGGTTTCCAAATGAAATACAAAACTTGCTCTCATCTGAAAAGAGGACTTTGGACCACTGGGCAACAGTCCAGTTCTTCTTCTCCTTAGCCCAGGTAAGATGCCTCTGATGTTGTCTGTGGTTCAGGAGTGGCTTAACAAGAGGAATACGACAACTGTGGCCAAATTCCTTGACACGTCTGTGTTTGGTGGCTCTTGATGCCTTGACCCCAGCCTCAGTCCATTCCTTGTGAAGTTCACTCAAATTCTTGAATCGATTTTGCTTGACAATCCTCATAAGGCTGCTGTTCTCTCGGTTGGTTGTGCATCTTTTTCCTTCCACTCAACTTTCTGTTAACATGCTTGGATACAGTACTCTGTGAACAGCCAGCTTCTTTGGCAATTAATGTTTGTGGCTTACCCTCCTTGTGGAGGGTGTCAATGATTGTCTTCTGGAGAACTGTCAGATCAGCAGTCTTCCCCATGATTGTGTAGCCTAGTGAACCAAACTGAGAGACCATTTTGAAGGCTCAGGAAACCTTTGCAGGTGTTTTGAGTTGATTAGCTGATTGGCATGTCACCATGTTCTAATTTGTTGAGATAGTGAATTGGTGGGTTTTTGTTAAATGTGAGCCAAAATCATCACAATTAAAATAACCAAAGACTTAAACTACTTCAGTCTGTGTGCATTGAATTTATTTAATACACGAGTTTCACAATTTGAGTTGAATTACTGAAATAAATGAACTTTTCCACGACATTCTAAATTTTTGAGATGCACCTGTAGTTGGTTTTGAAGTTCAGAAGTAGTTTGATATGACATTCTCCTCACACTATGTCTGCTCACTGATCAAGAGATAAGGTCAAAACACAGAGAATTTATTTACCAATCTGCTTTCTTTGATGCTTTAAACAATGAGTTATTTCTCACAGGTTTGGATGAAATATTTCTATTTACTGTAAATCAGATTAGAGAATCTGTATCACTTAAGAATCTTCACTGATGCTTAGGACAACTATTTGTATTGTTGGCTTCTACAACAGTATAATGTGATGTTAGAGAGATATCCAGAACCACAGATCTGAGTAACAATAAGGAGAGATAGCATGGTTAGTGCAGTCTCTGTAGTGGGTCATTTGATAAATGAAAAGCAAGTGAGTAGTGGCAGATCGCCACAATAAATACAAGTACAAATACCCTTAGATGTAGTGGAAGTAGAGGAAATAAATACATCCAAGTACTGATTCTTCTTGGGGGCCAATCGTATTATGACAGCAATCTTTCTGAAGCATGCGTCAAGAGAGAGAGAGAGAGAGACAACGACTGAGAAATAGAGAAAGGAAAAAAGACACAGAGATGGGATTCCAGTGGTACTGGATGGTAATCCTAAATTATTCTTACTGAATAAAAAAAAAAAAAAGAAGAAGCTTTCTAGATTTGAACAAGTCATCAGTTAATTAAAAAAAAACAAAGTTGTTTAATAAAATTCCACAAAATGAGATGACTTATGATGCAGACCAGAAGCAAACCCATGCAGGTCTAGAGCTAATTTTACAAGCTTAAATTTAGTACAACTTTGGGTTTTTCTTAATATTTTCAAGTTCAAACATGCAATAACATTTACATACAGAACCACAATAGAGACATGGAGATGAAAAAAAAAAAGATGCATTCCCCCAAGAAACATTGCTGTTCTCTTGCAAACGTTTTATGTGCGCTTTTGTGTTCAAGGAAGAAAGAAAATCATATTTGGAACAACAAGATGCTGAATAAATTATGACAGAATTCTCATTTCGAATTAACCATCCCTTTAAGATGATAAATGTCAGATGCGTGATAACATTAGATGACACTAGAGACAAGTATCATGAATCCTAGATTATGTATATATATATATATATATATATATACACATTTCTGTCATGACAACTCTCGGAGGGATTGGCATGGTCATATTAATATTAATGTATTTGGTCTTGGCGGAAAAGATCTGCTACGCTGCTGCTGCTGTGGCAGAGCAAGTACCGAGACTTGGTACTGCCAATACATCCACAACATGCTGCTGTAAGCATGTAAGAAATACTGCTGCTGCACATATAACACATATGAATAACCCCCCATATAGCATACATGAATCACCCCGTAGCAGATCTATACAGGTGGAGTTGGGGAAGGTGGAGGGTTTCTGAAGTGCGCTGCAAAACTTCTACAGCAAACAAAAGCCAGGTATTTGAATATTAAGCAGTAAGCTCATTGGCTACCGATACAGGAGAGAACCAATCAGCTGCCATGTGACAATGATGTCGCCAGGTCAGATTGAGCTATACCAATCGGACTGCGCCATCTAGAGTGTCATGCCAGAACTCTGTATTTCTGTCATGACAACTCTCGGAGGGATTGGCATGGTAATGTACATGACAATGTTAATGTATTTAACCAATCATAACCCACTGTGGGCGTATGAATCGCGTGCCCTGGGTGTGCCTACCTGGATGCTGACGTCATCAGCGCGAGACCACCGTTCAAGTTATGATTTAGCGGAGGGATTGGCATGGTAATGTACATGACAATGTTAATGTATTTGGTCTTGGCGGAATAGATCTGTTACGCTGCTGCTGCGGCAGAGCAAGTACGAAACTTGCTACTGCCAATACATCCACAACATGCTGCTTTAAGCATGTAAGAAATACTGCTGCTGCACATATAACACATAATAACCCCCCACAAAGCAGGAGACACGTTACACAAACAATACAAGCCAATATATGCATGCCGCTGAATATAAGGATAAACTGTGGAGCCAGAATGATCTCAATAATAATTTATATAAGTATATATAAATATAAGATTATGAAAATATATAGAGGAGGCTGCTATGAATACAGCTGTCTTGTGTTAGCCACAATGTCTGGCCAAAATGAAGAAAGGGATTATACTCATTGCCCTGTTTTTGTTCACTAACGCTGGGTGGCCAATGTCCAGCCTAGCTCCCACTTAGCGCTGACCCTGCCCTCATAACCATAGCTTTATAGTGATGAATAGACCTCACGAGAACTCAAGTGTATGGACAACGGGATGTTTGTACTTACCATTTGTGCAACATGATGCAGTGTTCAATTAATACACACTAATTGTTTTCCTTGATTTTTCAGGATTTAAACACTTTGGCACAACATCTGGATGACAGTTACAGACGTCTAAATTCACATTAATCTTTATCTCTTTCATGTACATCACCTTTATGTATTCATTTCTTAATGTAATCAACATTCATTTACTTTCCATATTATATTACTGTGATTAACCATTGTTAACGTTATTCTTATGTTGTGTTGTGTATTGTAATCTCAAAGATTTTTTCATCACAAGACGATTTTGGTAAGCAGCAATTGTATTTGCTTGGTAACAGTTGTGGAATTTATGCTGGTCAGACAAAGACTGATCATAAAGAAGAATGCAACAAAGATTATTCAGTAATCTTTATTCAGTTATTTTATCACTTTATCTCATGCTTTCTGCTCTTTCTGTATCTGCATCTCTTGTAAAAATATAAGAGTTAACATGCCAAGGTGTTAACTGCTTTGAATATCAGACCAAAACCTGGCACGTCCTGACAGAGAGAGATAGTGAAAGACTGGATCTTAAACATTTGATTAATTGACTTTTCACATGGTGTATTACACTTATACAACTATCATTCAGCCACAAAATTTACTTTAAAAGAACGCCAAAGACTCTAAATGGGACACTATACCCGCTATTCAATGTAACTGAGGTTTACGGGTGAACTTCTAGCACAGCGTCAAACTGGTATCAAGCCAATCTCAGACCTATGCGAGAGACATATATTCAACTGTGCTACGTTTGTACT